ATTCCTAGTTTGACTAGTTGCATTGGATTGTTAGTTTTTATTTCATTTTTCTGAATTTGTTTGATGGGCCCAGCGCGCTTTGTTTTTTACACCCCCAATTAGGCCCAGTTTGTGTTCTGAATGCATCTCAATTGCTATTTGGCACGCATCTTTTTCTATTTCTTTTTAATTTCTTTTGTTTTTATTTAATTTTTCTATTTCCAATTTTAATTAATTAAAATAGCTCCAATATTCCAAAAATTCACCAAAAATATTTTTTGTTAACTTTGAGATGTCTACTTTTTTGTGGATATTTTATTTTATTTTTTCCATTTTATTTTCAATTTAAAAATGAATTAAGTATTGGAATAGTTTTAATTGGTTTGAATTGTGACATGTTTTGTGTTTGCATTTATTTCTCTCATTCTTTTTTGATCCAATGACTAAAAATTGATCCTCATCTCAATGACGAGTTGATCAATTTTTTAGGACCATTTTGCCCCTGGTTGTTGACTTTTGGGTTGACTTTTTGGGTTTTTCTTGTTGCACTTGTTTCTCCCATTTCAAAGTGGTACATCCAAATGATTTAATTCTTTTGATGGTGCTTTGAAAGGATATTTGTCTTGGTTTCTTGGCCTCTGGTTGCCAACTTGTGTAGTTTCTTTGTGCATTTTATTTGATATTTTTTGAGTCCTTTTCCTATTTTTGAAGTGACTTACAAGTTAGGTCATCTCATAGGATAGCTCACACAAGTGCTTGACCTGGTTTGGATTGGAAATGACCTTTGTGGATCCAATAAGCTCTCAAATCTTCTTGTTTCACATTTTAGACATGTTGAGCTTGCTGTATGTTTATTTTTAGGTCAAAATTATGTTCATTGTTTGTTGTTTGATGCCTTTCTTTGTGTGCTTTCAACTTGAATTCCTATGTGATACATGTTTGTTTCCCTTGTGCTTTTACTTGCATTTCTTTTTGTCTTGCCTTGATATGGATTGTGAGCTCTCTTCTCTTCATCTCCCTTCTGTCCAATGACCTTAGAATGTCATTTAAGGTAGCTTGGTTCCTCCTTAGGAGGAATTTGAAGCTTACCTAAAGTGATGAATCCATGAGGACCCTTTCTTTGTGTTTGTCACTTGTTTGCTTGCTTTTGATGCATCTCTCTCCTTCTTCTTCTCTTTTATTGCATTTCCATATGCATTCTTGGTTGATATGAGCTTGTGGTGGCTACTTCCCCACACTATTTTCCTCCCACTATCATTCTATGTGTTGCATCTTATGTTTGCATTTTCATTTGCATATGCATTCTTCTTCTTCTTCTTCTTCTTCTATTGCTTTTCTTTGCCATGTTCCCCATAAGTTATCTAACCTCTTGAGGTTATGATAGACATTAGGTACCTAACTATGCATGATAACATTAGGTAGTTCCCTTTTCAAACTCAACTTTAAGTCCACTTTGCATGATAACTTTTAGGATTGATTAGTCTCCCATTAGTGTTTCTTATTCTCTTCTCATCTTCAAACAAGTCTAATATACTTAATAAGGATAATGAATATTGTGCCATGAGCCTTATACTTGGGAAATGGTGATTGAGGGGCCACCTCTCAATTGCCTAGAGTGTTTAGTATACGTCCTTAGGATGATATGCGACGCATTCGATCCTAGGTTCTAGACTTTGTTACAACATACATTTATGAACACTCTAATTCAAAACACTTCTTCTCTTAAAAAACACAAAAACAATTCAACCTTTTTCACCCTTTGGGGTTCTTAATCAAGGAAAATCTTTTCATAAAAAGAGTGTCGTTAACTCATTGTTCTACCGCAAACGGTAACGCCTAAGTCTCCAAAGGTCGAGCTGCATATACCAACTGCTAGAACTATCTGTTAACCTTACTCGGGCCTAAAAACTGTTGAACCAGCCTGTGTTCTCGTTAGTCCGAACTACGTTTGCTCTGATCTTTCGTACCAGACGAAAGTACGTAGGCACGAGACGCGATGTCTCGACGAGCAACCTTTCCCCTTTCTTTAGCCGTAGTTAGGTGAACTACGTTGACTCTGACTTTCCCATTGCACGAGGGAGTACGTAGGCACAGAGCGGCGATGCTCTGCCGAGTCAGTTCTCTTTTCTTTTTCTTTTGTCCTTAAGCCTTTAGTTAGATAGTATCAACACACCCTTTTAGATAGACAACAATGCATGGATCCCGTCGAGTACGACAGACGTAAGGGGTGCTAACCTTCCCCTTGCGTAACTGACTCCCGAATCCAGACATGGTTGCGATGACCTTGTCTTTCCCTTTTACTTTAGGTTTTTGCGATCATTTCCTTTCCCTCTCTTTGGGATAAATAAAGAAAGTGGCGACTCTTCTGTTTTTCCGCCGGTTGGTTTTCGCAGTTGCAACATTATTACAACAGATGAAAGATTTTAGAGGGGCTAATCCCCCAAACTAAATGGAGGTTTTGACAACTGAGCTCACAAATCAAATAAAGATTTTGATAAGTTAATCTCAAGAAGCAAACAAAGATTTTACCAAGATAATCTCAAGAACCAAACAACGTTTTTATCATAATAATCTCAATAACTAAACCAATATTTTACCATGATAATCTCAAGAATCAAACAAAGATGTCAAACAACAAAATCACACTCCTGATGAAGAACACTAGAAGCACGAACACCAACACATCCAAACTCTTACAAGTATTTTTCACTATAAGACATTTAGTGAAGAATAAAAAGAAAAAGAAAAAATAGTATAAAGAATGAGAAAAAGGATGTTTTTTCATAAAATTGGTATGTTATGGAAAGCTGAAAAGCCTCCTTTATATAGGAAATAATTTGCCTAAAAAAGAAAATGATCCATGGAGCAAATAAAATGATGTAATTGATTAAATTATCATTTAATCTATGTTTTAATTAGTTAAAAGATTTTTCAATCAATTAGAAAGTAATTTTCCTTTCTTTAAAGATTATACATGGTCCCTAATTGATTATGCAGTATAAAAACTTCCACAATTGATTAGAAATATTTTTTAATCATTCCTATATCTTGATCTCGCAAAGAAAATATCTTGATCTTGATATAACATCTTGATCATTACTTTTTCTTGACAAATAAGGATTTCACATCATGTCGTTTGACATATAATGTTGTCATCAATCAAAACCATGATGAACATCTGACTGTTGTACATAGTTGTACTTGCAAGCACATAGGAAAAACATCTCGCCTCTATGCGACTCGTTCTTGGGGGTCTGTGTAAATGTCCAATCTAATGACTAATCTCAGAAAAATGTCTTGCCTATACGCGACTCATGCTTAGGGGTGTTGGTAAATAGTTAACCTAGTTACTAACTTAAGAAAAACATCTCAGCTTTACGCGCCTCATGATTGGAAACATATGTAAATATCTAACTTAATTACCAACCTAAAAAAGCATTTCTCCTCTATGTAGCTCATGATTGTAGGTATATGTACATATGTGATTTATTTTGGGTGGAGGACTTGATGACTGGGAAATAGCCCACTCCCTCGTAATGGGTAAATCTATAAAGCAAATATCGGATAACGCGTCCCAAATTGCTAACTCACACATTATAATAAGGTCAGGTTAAACTGTTCTGGTTGATTAAATTAGTCTTTTCTATCAAAACCTAATGTAAGGCGAATATTCAGACTTAAATGCATAATAGATGCATTTATGACTAATTGATAAACACTATGATAAAAATATGGCAAGAGGATCTAATTAAAAACTCACATTTAATTAGGTACAATCGACTTAATGATCTTTAATAGGCCTTAAGTGTTAAGAACACGAGAGATGAAATATAAGAATATGACCTTCGAAAGCAATAAGAGATGATTCATCGATAGATAATTGAGACTTTACTATCCCTCATTGATATAGTTACATTGATATACTTTACTATCCCTCATTGGTATAGTTACATTGATATACTTTACTAGTACAAAATCTAAATAGCCTATTAAATCAATATTACCCACACATTTTTTTGAGGTGTTTAGAGTTGTAACATGACTTAAGTTTAGGCTAAGTGGATTAAATATTTAGAGTTAGACACTATCTTTCTTCTTCATCTACTTTAGGTTTAGGCTAAGTGGATTAAATATTTAGAGTTAAACACTATCTTTCTTCTTCATCTACTTCAATTATTTTCTTTTTAAATTTTAACTCTTTACTACATTTTCTTCAATAATTTGAGAATATTTTCTTTTTCTCATACCCATTTTTTCAAATTATTTTCTTTAAATACCTATTTTCCCTGTTTTCACATATATGCTCTCAAGACTACCCTTCACCACAAGTGATAACATAGTCTATGTGCACATAGTGGAAGATAGTGTTGGTGAATGGTGAGACGAGACTTCAACTCATGAGTTTTTTCACTTTGGTAGTGGTCATTACTTTGTGACTTCGGTATAATGCAACTATTTTGTTTAGAAGTTATTTAGTAGTTTGACTTGACGTAGTAAGCATTTTGAAGGACTACTATTCTTTTTCGAGGACATAAAAACTTTATTATCTATACGGTAAAACTCGCAAAACTTGTTTTTTGTGTAGTCTATTTTTGTTTCAATTATCCTTTTTTTTTATTTTTGTTTTAAATTTCAATTTCTTTTTCATTAACCTCTAGACGGTAGTTTAAATATCTTTTTCATTCTACTACTTTTTTTATTATTTTATAAATAATTTAATTAAAATAAAAAATAAATACACAAAAAATATTTTTTATATTTTAACATTTCTGTACATTAACAAAAACGGACAGACGAATTACTATAGTAAACTATTGTTGGATAAATTTTTTTATTGACAACTATTAAATAAAAATATAAGACTATAAACCACATCACTAACAAGTCAAAATATAGTAACAACACTATATCTTATGATCTAAACCATCAATTACTCATTTAAGCCTTTTATGATGGCATAAGCATTTATTTACAAACATTCTTTCAACTCCTGTGTACAAATTAAATGGTAAACTCAACATTTACATCTCCAAAAACTCTATTCTTTGTATGTTCTCTTCTAATAACTTGGAGTTTGAGTCATCTACATCTCCAAAAATCTGGGCAATTTCCTCGGGTGGCTTTCCTTTAATCAACTCATATACTTTGTTCCATGTCAGTTTCTCCAGGCTCTCGATTTTCATGTAGCATGCACATGTTGTAAGATCAAGCAGAGTTCTAGGGTTAGCTTCGAGAAATTTAGCATCCCCTTCCTTGCAGTATTTAACAATCATTGTCAACATTTTGCTACTCACTTTAGGAACAGAAATGTCATCAACCTCATCACCAACAGAAAAGGTCTCAGTAATGTCCTCAAATCTTTTTGACATAAGTGCCACACCATAGTCAATTTCAAAAACAGTCCCATCGGAGCTTCTCAAGTTGATTTTCTTTGACAAGTCATTATGATATAAGTGCCATAGTATAGTCTAGTTTAAAAAATTAGATACATTGGTTAATACTTGGAATGCAAAAAATAACAGAATTCTATATAAGCGTTTATATAATGGTTAAAAAAGAGCACCAAACTTTTAGAATAAGAACTAAGTTTTTCTGTAATCACCTCTGCCTTGTCCTTTTTTGTGCATTTGTAAAACTTTATGTAGAAATCCAATGTATTAATAACAAATGTATGATCAATCTTCTCTCCTGCAAGTTTCTGTTCAATCTGGATATCAACAAATTAAGACAAAAGACCTATTATTACAGGAAAAACTCAAATAACTAACTATATAACAGCATTGTGAAGATAATTTAACAACCACAATTCAACTACATAATTCTTATATGAAAAAAATCTACATAATTCAGACATAGTGAAACCATTTTTTTCAAATGCAAGTGTAACAAGAATATTTTGAATTATATCCACATGGGATTTTTAGTTTATGTTGTTTATATTGCGCTTACACTACACTTTAAGAAAGTTGAAGAAATATAAAACTATAGTGAGAAACATATACAAATGGAAAACAGAGAATACCACAGAAAATATAGCATCCATTATTTCTTTATTCATCTTTTCATATACCTGAGACAAATTAAAATGAAGTAAAGCCAGAGTTAGAAAAAAAAGGAGCGAAAAGGCAAATGCAAGATAAATAAATTATAAAAAAATTATCGATGCAACTTTTCTAAGGAATCTCATCACAAACCCTGTGGTTAAAGGTTGAAAAGCTGATTTCTTCAAGTGAAGCAAGCCCATGTCTACGAATATATTGGTCAAGATAATCAAAAATATATGAGAGGCGTCTGGTCATAACTTTGTAATTTGACCATCTCTGGAGTAGTTCTCTCAACAAAATGTCATCTTTCTTTTTTTGCAAAGATGGCAAAACCTTCAAACAAGAAAATTGCAGTATCGATATGATATATAATTTCAAGTTTAGTTAAAGCACATAAAAGTATTGTTCATGAATACGATATGATATCCAAAATGGAATTGTTACTTACTTTTGATACAATGTACTGGTCACATGTTTCCCTGTACTTGTCATATAGTTCTCTGGCATAGTCACGAGGTATGATGTACTCTTGGATGCATAATTCGTAGACGATCCTGCATTACAATTTTAACACAAGAAGTGTCAAGATTGAACAAAATAAAATGGTTGAATCCACCGAGAACTTGCAACAATAAAAGTAATGAAAACAAACAAAATAGATTAATCGCACCATTCAAGTTAGAAAAAAGCATAATTCTTGAACATCATCATATCCAGACTAAAGCAGAAATGATGAAAAGCATAATTCTTGAACATAAAAAAGTTGAATGACGAAAAACAGAATTTTTATTCGGGGGGATTGATGCAATACGTACGTATATAGTTCGATGTGTTGGTCAAGAGTGAAGGTAGGGTCTAATCCTTCTAGAAATTTGTGGAGCTTGGTGATGCCCTTGTGCAAAGTCTCCCATCCTTCTTCAAAGGTGATGAACTTCTGATTGCTCATTGATGGAATCGGAGAGAGGAGAGAATTGTAACTGGAAATGGTTTTGATGAGAGGTTAAGTAGCTTTATAGGAGTTAGTTATGATAGTTATAGAAGTTAGTTATGATAGTTATAGGAGTTAGTTATGACAGTTGATACTGTTCTCCAAGAAGAATGTAACATGTGGCATAACACGGTTCGTGGAAGGAAAAACAAAAGAGCTTCGGTATGGCGTTGAAGACTTGTCCTGTAAAGTTCGATATCTGGTTGCGGGATTTTCTCAAACAGTTGGCAGGCGTAATGGATGTCTCGCGGTAATCGTAGAACAACCATGGAGGCTTCCGTGCAGGGACTGCAAACTTGTAATTATAAAATGAAATGGAATTTAATGAAATTATAATTAATGAGATTTTATTATTTAATAATAGATAAAATAAAATGAAATAGACTAAAATTCATTGCATTCAATTTTTTCCATCCCATTTAATTTTTTCCATCCCATTTAAAAGGTATGTGATGATGAAATAACACATTTTTAATAAAATAATTGTGAGTTATGTCAATAACAAAAAGTAACCTTAGAGCAACTTTAGTGCATGATTGTTAAACTAATATTATTTATTTAATTAATAAAATATTTCAACAACATTAAAGTAATTGCATGATATTTGAAAATAGTGGGGTCAAATTTTGGTTTCTTATAGGCAATCATGATTAAAGTAAAAACTACTCAAATCAACTATAAATTTTTTTAATCCTACAAAACACTTTGGGTCCACAAAAAATATCTTAATTTATCCATTTAGTTTACTCTCATTAAAGACGCTCTTAGTGATATATCAATAACAAAAAGAATGTAAAATTTTCAAACAAAGTATGTAAACTATCTTTTACCACCCTAAATTTTGTTACTTTTAATTTAATTAATTATATATAAGGTTTTTTATTTTATGAATTTACATTTCAATCATTTTTAAAAGTATTGAGTATCAATCAAAATTCGGATTTCAAGATATTAGAGATAAATTTAATAGTTTTTTTATTATTTTGTTAGGGTTTGTCAGGTTTGTTATTTAATACTCTCTCCGTTTTAAAATGATAGTCGTTTAAGATTTTTGCACACAGATTAAGAAATGTAATGATATTGTCCTAAAATGTTGCATTTTTACTAAATTAGTCTTATTAATGTGTTGGAAATAATGTAAAGAGTAATAATTATATGTCACAATTGGAAAAATAACAATTATTACTGTATTGAAAAGTGAAAATGACATTCATTTTGAAATAGAAAATTTCCCTTAAAATGACATTCATTTTGAAATGGAGAGAGTAGTTTGTTATTAGTTAGTTAAAATTGGTTAGGGTTGATCATATTTTCAAGCTCTAAAAGATAGATCATCAACTTATATATAAAGTCATGTCATGTATCATCATGAACCATAAGAATACAACATATTTTCAAGTTAACTTTCTACTATGGCATTCGAGCACAGTTCAGATTCAGAAGAGAAATTGGAGAAGAAAAATACCTCCAAACTTAAAACAAAGAATAAGAAAACCTGTCATTTAAACGACTCTAATAATCCTGAAACTCCACTAGTGACAACATTGTTGAATGGAGAAAATTACCACATATGGGCAAGATCGGTCAAGACGACTTTGTGTGTGAAGACGAAACTGAGTTTCATTGATGGAAGCATCAAGAAACCATTAAATCAATCTGAAGTGTACCATGTGTAACACCCTCCTAAACCCCACAGAAAACATATGAATAATCAGAGTAAATTGTCATGCATTTATAAAAGGGTGTCACACATAAATTTTAAAACATCAAAATCACCTGTCATGCTCATTAACATTTCAATGTAAAATCATGATTTACAAAATTTCACTTTGCATGTAGCAGCGAATTCATTTTTTAACATAATACCCCTAACGGAAACATCCGTGTTTATCACATAAACCAACATCGTTTGGGCACTAAGGTAAACATCATAATATCTCAACAATATGAAAACATAGTATATCACTACAATATAAACCAAGCGATCCCAGTTTTACATGACCAAAGCATGACTCGATCCAACATAATCAATTACTAAACAACTACGCCAAAAGCAACCTCACAACTACAAGCAGTACTACTCCTTGATACATGTACGATGTCATGTAGGACATCATTCCAGCAGAAGGGTGAGCAATATTATCATAATAACAATGCATATAATCATATATAAATGCACAATTACAGAATACATATATTCCACATTTTCTCACCACAATTCATTATAATCATCATATACCATAAAACTCATATAAACTCATCAATTCTCACCAATCCCCATATCCATACACGATTAGGATTATTCACTAACTCACAGTTACACACTCACCATTACACATTTACAAATCTCAATTCATCAATTCATGCTTGTAAGCATACTTCCATACAATAATCATGTATTCACAATTCTCATTTACACACGTCATACACATACGCATATTTTCACAATTCTCACTATACTTCATCATAACCCATCATATACTTCATAAAGCATATATACACAAACAAATATGGACGATCATAAAACATGTTTCATCATGCACACATCCATAATCCACAATTTCCACACACAAGCATATTTCATATAACAATGGCATTCATGTTATGTGACTCAATACAACTTAATGCAAACTCATGCCATGTGGTACCAACACTTGTTATCTTTTTTCGATTTATATTAAACCGGGTCCACTCTTCTAGACCGATAATCACCAAAAGCCCATCCCCTAAGCTTTCAAACCCACTCTTCTAGGCTTGGGACAAATCACTAGTCTCCACGAAACTAGCAAGCATTGCCTCTTGACTAAATGATGCATATACAATCAACAACAAAATGCACTTAAGACCGACATCTTAATCTCATGCATTCAAATAATTCCTCTCTTCAAAAATTATAACATGATTGTGTTGCACCCTAAAATTTGCTCAACCTTATTCCTTGGATTTATGTTTCATTGTCACTAGCATTTGCATATAGAGTCATGTACATAGACTAACCATCTGCATAGCATAAGCATAGCAAGTCAGTCAACAGGGGACCAATCATTATTCTCATCTCTAGAGGCCTATCAAGAGGTTATTATCCCAATTCAATCTCATTCAAGTCATCAGGAAAGAATTTGAAAGCAAAGAGTTCAGCAGATCAAGCCTTGAGTCCATCTCCTAGCTGAGGGTATCTGAGGATCAACAAGAGGGTTGTGAGCTGTGGAGTGAAGGTATGGAGAGCATCTAGACCTTATGAGAGACTTACAAGGTCATTTGGAGAAGAAAGCAAGTTGTTGATGTGAGCACAAGAGCTACAGTTGAAGGCAGTCAACTAGGGTTTCATCTAGGCCAACCCTAGGTCAACCCTAGGTCAGTTGACTGACTTAAGAGGGCATTCAAGTCTATTGGAGAGATGTGGGGATCAATATTGGACATGGAGGATAAAGATATGGAGATATGACAAGGAGAATTCAAGAAAAATCAAGGAGAAGAGGAGTTACTAAATTAGGGTTTCTCTGTAAAATCCCCTAGTTTAGGTCAAATTTCCAAGCAAGATAAGTCAAAATGCTAGCTTCAAATGGCTTCTTGGCCAACATGAAACTTGTAGAGGATCTCAAGACCTTTAATTTGAGTGGTGGAAGACCTCAAGGAGATTTATAGAACTCAAGTTATGGTCCTTGCAAGTTATAGGTCATCTGGGGTGTCTGAATTTTTGTCTGTGAAAGTGACTTGACTTCCAAGCTAGTTTTGCCCCTCAAGGAGATTTCAAATGAATTCTTGGTCAACATAAGAATTGTTCCTCATTGTCTTAGCTTTCTAAAATGGTATGGCATGCCTTCATATGATGTGGAGAACTCAACTTATGGTCTTGACAAGCAAAGGGTATTTTGGGCATTTGTGAATTACAGGTCATTTTAACCTATACCCAAAACTCATACAAGGAGGCCTCAAATGGAAAAACTTACAACATCAAACTTGCTCCAAATGGGATTTTAAGTCAAGAAAGAAGACCATGTAAGTTTGGAAATGCTTGTAACTCATGCTTGTAGAAATGACCTAAAAAAGGCATAAATTTAATACATGAAATGTCCATTTTTGGGAATTTTATACTACATGATCAACATGGGGCAAGTGACATATCATTTTGACTAGAAAGCATATTTTGTGATCATTGGCATTATTAGATTTTGGATTTGAGGTCATAATTTGGGACTTGCCATGGATTGCTTATAATTCAAGTTACATATCCAACTCACATAAGGGATTAACACACAAGCTTGCAAGGCTTTTCAACATGTTCAAAATACCATTTGGGGAGATTTTCAATTAATAATCATGGGCTGTAACAAGGAGAACTTGGAATGAACTATGCATAGCATGAAATGAAAAAGTCATGACATGAGAAACTCAATTTCTCATAAGAAGAGTCCAGTTGGTTCTAGATGATTCTAACATCATCTATATATGGATTGGAGTGTGCTCAGATGCAAGAGTTAGAGAGAATTGCTGCAGAAAGAGAGATTGAAATCCAAGTTCCTCCATAGCAAGTCATTCTCCAATTTCTCATTTCTTCTCCATTCTGTTCAATTTCTTGATCTGGTTCAGTTCTATCATCATCATTGAAGGTGTGGCAATCAAAATCAGAGGGAATTCAAGGCCAAATCGTGTTCTGTACCTTGAGTTTGGCAGCTTGCAGCTTCAGATCCATTTCCAAGATTCAGAGCTTTTCAACCTTCCTTTTTGCATACAGAAGCTAGAAGATGGATCACTGAATGATTCTGGAGGAATTCAGGCATTGATTTGAAGAATTCTACCATCTGTGCATCTCATTTCACCAGGTTTGTAAATTTCTTCGTGCACCTTAATCTAAGTAGAATTGATTAGAATTAGTAGGTTAGAACGGTTAGAAATCATTAGGGGAAGCTTTCTGGAAAGTTAGAGATGATTTGGTGATGATTTTGTTAGAGGTACCA